ATGGGGGAAGGTGCTCAGGCTCCAAAACGATTGAAGTCGATATTGAAGACTGCAGGGTCCCCAAGCGGAGAATGAGGTGCAGTTTTTCCAGCTTGTGCTGAAACACTGCAGCAGACCTGAGAGAGAGTCATTGGCCACGCCAGACTGAATTCAATCCGATCAGCTCCTGTGAATCTCCACATGAGGTTTCACCTTACAGAGTGCGCTATATAAGTGAAAGTTGTTGTTGAGAGCCTCAGTGATTGGTTCAGAGGAAAGGTCTCCAGTCCCCCATGACACGGATGTGACCGGATCTATTGCAATGAAGTATCTCTATTCGCCCGGGACAAAGGCGAGATCCGAAGGGTCATTCAGAGCCCCTCAGAAGTGGCCTGTGAAACTGCTCCCAAAGGAAACAGTTTTTCATTGAAAACCCCAAACACTGTGTGAGTTAGAAAGAGCGTCTATCACTGGCTAAGGTGTTATTGCCCACTCTCACAAAATCCGACTTGGGTAAAGGTCAGGGTTTTGATAAAACTTAACAGCTTACCAGGTACACGACGTAGGTGAGACACTGGTACGTAAGTACAGGCTCCCCATACAACTGGGCCACGTACATCAGGCATTCCAGGACCGGCCTTGCTGTTAGATCCCCCAGCACCAGCCGGCACTCACAGATATTCCCCACATCATCAGCGTCATCATCGAGAGACACAAACTGATGCTTCTCGGAACCTGCAACCGGGGCAATTCAAATTAATTCCACTCAGGTCAGCTGCAAGTAGAGTTTAAATTTAAATATTACAGCAATTTCATTGTCTGTTGCAAATCCCACCCAGCCCCAGCCCCAGACCACATACCCTCCCACCACCCAGCCCCAGCCCCAGACCACATACCCTCCCACCACCCAGCCCCAGCCCCAGACCACATACCCTCCCACCACCCAGCCCCAGCCCCAGACCACATACCCTCCCACCACCCAGCCCCAGCCCCAGACCACATACCCTCCCACCACCCAGCCCCAGCCCCAGACCACATACCCTCCCACC